ATTTACCTTTAAGATCTGTATTTTTGTTACCTATGTTTTACAAATAATAAATGATTGATTGATTGATTGATTGACTTAATTACAGATATTCAGCAACGCAGACGGGTACAATGACCTCTGGTACATAACGTGGGACAAAATCAACGAGTTCCTGCCCAACTTGAAGGAAGAATTATTCCCACAAGGTAAGTTTTTATATGAAAAAGGGACTCGCGAATACTGATTGGCTACTCAAGTTTAAGTTGTACTATATCGTGCCATGTGTCTAAAAAATTGTAGTGACAGAACTATATCGATCGATCGCTTTGACTGGATTTCGTGCCGCCATTGATGACTGGCCAAATCGTCTAAGGGCATGTATTAAAAACAGGGGTGGTCATTTTGAATAATAATTATATTTAATTTTTACTTACTATCTACTTAATGTTTGTTATTGTTTTTATAAATATAAGTTTATTATTTAAAAAGATATGCAACTTTTAATTTGTCTCAAAACTTATGAACACACGAGGTATATTAACTTTAAATTTTTTTTGTTGACGTTCATAAGTGCCTTTCTGGTCTAATTGAAATAAACGATTTTGACTTGGGTACTTAAAATTGAGTAGCGTTTCAGGATTCAAGCATTAGTATGTTTTGTGTGTGGTAATAACATAATATCACGCCTTTTTATCCCAGAAGGGGTAGGCAGAGGTGCACATTTCGGCACTTAATGCTACTGTACAATGTAACACCCACTTTTTCACTATTTATGTTATGAGTCCCATGCAATAGGGGGTGAGCCTATTGCCATATACCGGACACATTTCCAGACTTCGTGCTACTACTGAGATTTTTAAAAACCCAGTAATACTTTGCCCGACCCGGGAATCGAACCCGAGACCTCTTGCCCGGCAGTCGTACTTGCGACCACTCGGCCAACGAGGCATTGCTGTATTGAAATGCTTGTATTTTCTTTTCTACTTGACTATTACGGAAACTGCCTCTCAGTTATAAGTCTGTGCCCTTAGCCAAACGCTACTTTAGCGCTTGTCTACACAGAGAGAGTAGAAATCAAAATGTATGGGGATGACACTGACAAGTGTCAAAATTTACGTCAATTCCATATAATTTGGTTTTCTATTCTACGTGTAGACAAGCGCTAAGTGGCATTTGGCTACAGCTGCTGTAAGATATCTAAGGTTCGATTCGTGAGTCGATTGTCGTTAGCACTTAAGGGGCCAGTAGGATACCAGCGCAAGGCCATGTCTTGCACATGCTGAACTGGTCCCATTTCACCGCAGACATTTATGAACTGTCTGTATGTGGAAAATCTGTATGTGTGATGACACATACAGATTTTATTATTTCAGAAAATAGATGTATTTTAGCGTGTGAAATAAAGTTTTTTCTTTCTTTCCATTCCAAGCTTCATATTACAAAATCCTATTTTCTTATTTCAGTAAAAGACAACGCGAAACCAGCCGGTCTACCGAGCCACATGCAGCCAACGTTACCACCGTCCCTGCCTACCCTCGTTCCTGTAGGACCGACCAGTACGCCCACATTAGTACCAATCCCATCCCCTCCCCAAACCCAATCCCAAATCCCATCACCAATGTTGGCGCAAAACTTGGCCCATTCGCCAGTGAATTTAGTTCAGACGCCGCCATTAGTGGCCAATGCGCCAACGTTGGTGGCTCCTACTCCAATAAGCGGTATGGTTCCTATAAGGAATCCCTTGTATGATCAGACTGGACTGACCTCTTCTGTACTTCTGCAGCCTTTGAATGAGGTAGGTAGTATTCTAAATTGTACAAAATTATGAGAATCTTTTTGAGATTTGAGTATGTTTACCCTTAACCCGTCGAGCGTCTGCGTTCCTTATGCATTTCCTTATCCTTATGCATGCAAGAAAATGCATTTATTTGGCCATTGGCACACGAAAACAAGGATCATTAAAATAGAAATAAAACAAATACAGTCAAAATAAAAACAAAACATTAATAATAAATTTTATAAAAGAAAAAGCAGCATGGAGCATTTTTTCTTATGATCCACCGGGTGCTCATAAAGACGCTCGATGGGTTAATAGAAATCTTTAACTGATAAAGTCTACGTTAAAGTAACAAAGAACAATGTGGTATATAGTTTTCTGTTCTCTATAGCCAATTGCTTCTACGATTACTACTATTTTAATAATAATAATCACAAAATTTATCTAATACAATAACATTTTCTTCCAGATGATATCAACACCAATTGGAATGTCGATGCAAGCACAAATGCCGATGCTATACCCGCAGAACATTGACCCCACACCGACGAGACCGGACCTCATCCGCATGGACCCCAGACCGGACCTTACGCCACAGGTCCCTACACGACAAGAAAAACCCTACATAGACCCGGCACAACCAGACATAACACGGTCAGACCCACAATTAGTTAACATTAATTATAATGACAATGTTATATCTGAGACTAAGATAGAACAAAGCGAATTATACGCTGATTACTTAACAAATCCATACACTGAGACCAAGGACATCTCCAAAGAAGCCACTCTATACGACCCAGAAGACCCAAAACCTCAAAGTACTGACTTAGCAAACACCCTACTATCGGTCTTAGATAAAAAGTCCTACAGTGCAAATGCAACACCTATGCATACGGTTAATAAAGCTCAGTTTGGCTCGAGCGACAATGTGAGGCAAGACTCCTCGGGGATTTTTAACTTTTCTAGTTACTTTGGGTCCGTGAGTGAGACCAGAGGGCCTGGGTCTGAGGTTTTTGACAGTTTGATGTCCACGCAAGAAGGATAGCTAGACTTGTTAGACAGAGACAGAGATATGGGCACGTGGTTGTAGACCTGAAATGAAACGTAGTTAGACCAGGGTAGAGTTGTATATGAATTGGCTGTCTTTAGCTTATAAAAAGGTAATAATAATAATTCTGTATTGGCTTATGTCGGTTCTGTTCACGTTGATTTGTATGAGATTCAGTGTTATAGACTTTTGGGTTCTTTAATATGAAATTGTCAATATTATCTAAGTCTTATAAGGCAGAAGCTTGTTTGACACAAGTGGGAAGTAACTGGTTTATAGAATATAACCTGCCCCTTTTAGTATCTACTAGCTTCTGCACGCGACTTCGTACGCGTAATCCCATTTTTCCGTCCCCGTTCGTGATTTTCGGTAAAAAGTAAAAAAAAAAATAATTTTGGTTAAAAAGTATCCTATGTCGGTCTCCTGGCTCTAAGCTACCTCCCTACCAATTTTTAGCCAAAACTATTCTGCCTTTCTTGAGTTATAAGTGGTGTAACTAACACGACTTTCTTTTATATATATAGATAAGGGCGTGTTGTTATTTTTTTTTCTATGAAATGCCTTCTGGTCTAACTACAAAGTTTAGTTAGAAAAATCACATTTAATCCTTATTATAGATAATCTTTTATCAAACAATCGTTTTCAAAGGACTATGATCCTTATCACCTTATCATTAACGTCCAATTTTCAATAGGACTACAACATTCTACATATTTATTTATATTACGTTTTGTGTTTGTTTTATTTTAATCGAATTTAAATGTTATAGTGGTGATAATAATGTTTAAAAATCGGCCTAGTAACAACAGCCATTGTAAGAATTTATTTATTTTAGATTTTATTGTTTTATGTATGGACATTCCAAGGCCTTTATTTTTTTATTTATTTGTGGCTGGGTGTTTTGGGTTGAATCTACAGTATATATGAGTACAGTCGGCTAACTAATGCAGTAATTCATAACCTCCTTTTTGATTAAGTCTGTTAGGGAAGTTGTTATAGTGTCATCGTAATGTATGGAGGTACTAACTTCATTTGTTGATCCTTTTCGAAGTGAATAGTAAGTTGTTTCGAGTTCGAATCCTACTATTTCTATTAAATATTTCTATGGCTTTTTCATTTTAAAGATTCCCCTTTTTGTATTGGAATATCATTTCATTAATTTCTTTCTTTTGTCCTTTAAATTGAATTTGTGTGTCCATCCTTAATTTTGAAGTTATTTGTGTTACTAAATATGTATCTTATTTGAACTAAATCTTTTTACTTTAACTTCTTTGATTCATTGTTATTAGTATTTTTCTTATTTCGCTCAAACAACCTTTTCCACTTTACAAAAGAGGATTAATTTAGTTGCCACCTCAAAATTCGTATTGAGAAAAACGTGGGAGAGCTTTGCTTTGGCACGAATGGACGGGCTCGACTAGAGTGATACCACGGCCTCGCAGAAAACCGACGTGATGCAAACGAAGTGTTGTTTTACGCCACGTGTGTGAGGTTACCGGAGGTCCTATTTCTCCTTCCCTTTCTAAATCCCCAAGCCTTAAAAGGCCGTCAATGCATATGAAACTCTTCTAGTGTTGCGGGTAGACGGCGCTGATTGCTTACCATCAGGTGATGTCAGACTTGGCTCGTTTGCCGGCTTATTCCATAAAAAAGCTATCATGTCTGCGGTTGACTGTACGCATATGATTGAAACCTATACAAAACTCCTACTCTCTCTTACTCTAGATATCTATAAGCAACTCTGTTCTTTCTCCTATAAAGTCTATTGTAGTTTGTTGTGTAGAAATCAAATATTTTGGTGACAATGAAAAGGGACACAATTGTAAATGGTGTAATTATCTACGTATTGTTTTGTATAGAGAGTCATATATACTAACTATTGTATCAGTGTAATATAATGTTTAACAGTTTAATAATAAAATTTGTTTAACATGTACTCTTGTAGTTTTTGTTTGAGTCAATCCCTGGTTAACTATTTTTGAATAACTATCGTGATATGTTGTATTAGAATATATCACTGGTGCTCGACGTTACGCACTTCAATTAACTGTCTAATGAACCCTGGTGTGACTCGAAAGTAGTCGAGCACACTCGAATAGTTACGTGTTATGAATTTTAATTATTCCTTGATTTTGTTTGTCTCATCGGCCCGAGTTTTAATAACTTCTACACACTTTTTCTAACGAAGAATTGAATGAAACCAAAGAGTGATATAAAAACAACAGTATATTATTAATCAATGATAAAATTTACATTATTTACACATTTGTACAAAATATAATCGAGAGCGCCTTCACAGAAGGCAATACCAGGCACTTTATACAACACGAGTTAAATACTGAGTCCATCGTCCGCTCGCGACTACACACGAGTCCACGCGTCACACGCGCGACACGTGCAGCGGGCGCTTGTAGTAGGGCGGGCACGGCGCCGCCACCGCAGGCGCGCGCAGCAGCGGCGGCGCGCCGCACGACTTGCGCGGCGGGCACAGCGCGCGCCGCCACACCCACGCAGACTTGCGCGACCACGCCCACGCCCCCGCACCCACCCCGCACGCCAGCCCCGCGCACACCCACAGCGCGCCCGCCTCCGCGCCCGCCGCCACCGCGTCCGCACCCAGCAGCGCGAGCCCCGCGCGTCGCTCCCGCAGCCTGGCGTCCAGCACGCGCGCCGCCGTACTCAGCGCTGCCAGCGACAGGTACACCAGCCCTGCCGCCGCCGCGCGCGCCGCCAGCCGGCCCACTCTCCGAGCGCCGCGAGAGTCCAACGCACGTCGTACCCTCATGATACCGGGACATGCCCCAATCGCCAACGCCACAGAAGTCACTAACAATGCACCTCTCGGTACTCCCACTAACGCTGCCGCTGCAGCGTCTGATATTGCACACGTTCCGGTCAGTTCGTCAGCTGTCACTCTCCTCAACGCTAAGGCAGCAGCCGTCCATGCTCCTGCCCAGCCCCACGACACTGCGTGAAGGTACGCAGCAGCTCGCTCTAATGCCTCAGTAGACCATTCACTGGCTGCAGTCAGGTACCACGCCACGCACGCGTTAGCGAACCATGCGTCCGCCGCTAGAGTGAAGTAGTAGGTGAACGAGAAGAAGGCGACACAGGTCGGAGACGCCAGGCCATCCACAGCTAGCGTGTTACCAGAGCAGGACACCATCTTAGCCCCCAGCCAGCCTCGAGTGACGTACGCTAGAGCTACAATCGCATGGCACGCCGCCATCCACACTACTGGTCGCTCCGGGTACCGGTACCGCGACGGCTCCGCACAGAAAGTGAGCAGTGCGAATGACGTGGACAGTAGAGAGAACCACGCCAGTGTGTTCATCCATATTTCTGCTTTCCTCTTGTCAGTCTGACTGTATCTAGCATGTTGTCCGCACGCGGGCCAGCACTCGCCTGTGGGGGCTCTTGTGTATGCTGGTGGACATCCATGTTCTCTTATTTCATGGTCGTGGAACGGCCATCTTGATGCTGGTGGTGGTTCAGGTTCTGACGACTCGCTAGCATTGGGTGGTCGCATGCACAATCTGCGATCAGCTCGGAGTGGGAACGCGGAGCAGTCGAGGATGATGCTGGGCAGCATCTGCTTGAGTTGTTCCTTGCAGTCGTCGACCACGGTTTCACAGAGCGCACGGCAGGCGCTCACGGAGCCGGACACCTCCTCCGAGCATAGCGGAGCGAACGCAGAGCACAGCAGGAACCGAGCGTGCACCGAGCACCCACTCGATAGTATACCCGCGAATGACACCATCTGAAACGAAAGAATACAAGTTTTAGAGTTTCTTTTAAAATACACATTTCATCATTTCTGAACAGATATTTTTATTTGGAAGTCATTAAACAAAATACTCCAACCTAACATTACAAGTTTCAATAAAAAATAATTTGACGTTCGTCATAAAAGCTCCCACAGTATTTAAGTGTTATTTTATATTATAGTTGTAGTAAAACGTTCACAAAGGACTGTTGGGAAGCCTGGAGGCTCGGGTTGAGCAAAAAAGCAGCAAATGACAGGTTGAGAGACAATAGCAAGGTCGTTGGAGAGACACGTTTTTGTTGAAGACGGAGCGGATGTCACGCAATCAAGGAGAAGGGAAGGGTTCGACCGAAAATCTATGTTAAGATTAAAATACAAATGATACAAAGATAACACCAATGAAGTTTTACATATAACACTGAAATGCCATACTTATATGTATACGGAACAATTCATTGAAGTAGCGAAATTGTGCCGCTTTGGGTCTGTAAGCACAAACAATTCTAAGCTATTATTCTCAGATCAAGTTCGTAATTGTAACTTAATACAGCGGCTTGTATCCACCTCACACGCTAGCTTCCTAGGTCGGCAATCGATTACATTCCTTGCACCGCGTAACGGATACAGGGTGTCTAGTTGTTCACAGCTCAGGTTGCATGTTTCCTGTTAAAACTATGTAATATGGTAAGGGCTCGTATGTAGGTTCAATTCAAAGCGAAGCAAATAAGTTTGAGGATAATTTTGAGTCGGTTTTGTATTAGAAAAAGTATTCTAATGATGTTGATGAATTAGGTGTTCTTATCTTCAATTATTCCTATGTCTATAAGTTCGCTAAATTTATCAAAGGGTCGGTCCACATACATCTTTAAATATAGCTCTAAAGTTCCGATATTTCGTTCTCTTAAAAATGGTACGTTCATCTCAGTCGGCTGAGCATTTCCAAAAGGCTTTTTTCAATGGAAGTCTGTCGCATTGTTGTAAGATAATTGCCTCGGTGGCCTGCGCAACACAAAAAACCTTTATTTTTCAAACAACCGGCCTTGGAGCGGATTACACGGGCTCCGACGCTAATTTCGTTTCGAATGATTTGATCTCAAGTTTTTTCGCGACGGCGTTTTTTGATTGTAGATTAATGTGATATAATGAGGATAAATTACATAGGTGGGAGGATAGAGGAAGTGCGCTTCCCTCTTTTTATTCGCACTTCTTTAGCTATTATTTAGTTTTTTCGGATATGACGTTCGACGATAGCGTCGACAGATGGCAATGGTGAAACTTGTACGATTTTATCTACTGTATCGTGGATGGACCACAGGAGATTAGCATTAACATTTCCTGAAAGCCTATGGTCGTCAAAGCCTACGTATTTGTAAAACGTCCGGCGTTAGAGGATACCATTAAAACGTTAACAGTTTCCCTAAGTATTTTACAATAACATTAAAATACTAAAATGTCTTAAGTCATTACGGTGGGACTGATACATCGAGTTGAAAGCCAATTTATACCGATTCCAGCTAGCATCTGTAATCGGAATCGATTCCACTGGACATTTGACCACAATTTGACTCCGGCACTTCTTGGTAAATTCTATTAAACTGTCTTTTTGTACTGTTAGCTTGATTTTATAGACATTTTATGTTTGGTAACTGAAGGTGCTAAATAAGTTATTTGGTGATGTAATCGATGAACTTCCTGGTAGACCTCTGACATTCTAAAGTTAATGGGTACCCATCCATTGGATGGGCAAAGAGCCAAGATTGATGACTTACCAAATAGATTTCATGCCGTTGGTCTCTAGCTATTTTATTTCATACATGAAGTTCTAGATGCCTACATAGCTTTGAGTTAAAAATTGACTATTTAAGTATACTTAGGTACAGCATATACTTAACTTGACTACAATAAAAGTGCGTGCAATCACACTGTCACTCATAGATAATGCTTGATTTATAAATTGATGGGACAATAATGTGTGACAAAGGTCATCGCACTTAGCACAACTTTACGTTAATCTGTGATAAGAGGTAATCCTCATAACATGGCACATATTAATTCATACGTGCGTATGTGTCCTCTTTTCCTTGAACTGAATTATTTTTGTTTCAAGTATTTAGTTTATTTGTCTAGAGATTCAACAATTAAGTCAATAGGTACCTCCTTCGTGATTATCTATGCATGTAATTAGTAATTTAGTTCAGTTTAAGATGTTTACAAATAGGTACTCTAGATTCAAGAAGATTCAATAAGAAATATGAAGAAGTATTATATGACTCTGATATTTTGTCGATTGCTAAAGACCTGTATGTTCTAATGTCCATTTCAGACTTATAATTATGAATTTTGGTGTGCATGTAAGTATTTTTTTGCAATATGGACACAACTTAAAGAGTAGTCGATTACAGTAAGACTGTATAACATTTTTGTAGTTTTTATAGATGTTTTAACAAATTTGCAGGTGCAATTGGCAGTCGAAATCCTAAAAAGTTTAAGTGAGTGAAGCATGTTATTTTTTACAAAAAACAGAAGTACTTACACATGACATTAATCCTTATAATAACAACAAATATTTCAATCGAATCGTATCAATGAAAACGCAAAAAATCTCCACTTCAAAACTGTTCCGCTAAAATCGATCGCTACGGATTATCCTATAGAAGCAAACAGTTACCTGCGTCTGCGCATATCCTATTAGAACGGTAGATTGCACTCAAAACTGAGTGGATTTTTGTGTTTTTTTTCACGGACAAACGTACATTCGTTCTGAACCAACAATTGTGAGTAAACAGAGCTGTTTGCTTACGAAAAAGGTTTAAAGTCGGCACCACTTAAGAATTTAGTTAAGGCCATGTTGGGCTAACTTTGCTTACATTGTATTTTGTCATTTTAAGTATTTTTACGGTTAAATAAACTTTGAGTTTGTTTAAAAGTATTTTATTTCTAAAGATGATTGTCAGAGTTTTGTCAAGCAGCAATGAATATTTATTATTGATATTATTTTACTTTACTAGCTAATAGTCCCAGTGTGGCGTTAACTACCTACCTATCTACTGTCAAACACCGCGAGGACACCGGTGACCGCAACCTATTGTTCTTTAATTGTGTCTATAATGACGGTACTCAAAGGGTTAAATAGTAGGCTACGCGACATCGCGGCGACCGCGCACGCTAGTCACGAGGAAGAATCCCTCTGTAACTCGAAACTAGTAGAGATTTTCTCAGTATATTTACGTAAGTAACTCGTAAGGTATAAAATAATTTTTGATGCTTTTAAAATTATGGTAAAAAGAGAAAGACTACTTAAGATTCTTTCACCTCGTGACATTGTACTTCGTTGGGTCCCCTTGGCCCACGAGTACCCACGATAAGTGGGATTAAGGAAACAAACAAAGGATTTATGGAATAAACTCAGGCTTAGTAAACTTCTCTTTAACAAACATTTGCTCACATGAGTGGCATCGGATGTTTTCAGATCACATATAAGGGTCCCATTGATATAAATACCAAGACTATAAACCATTCAAAAACCAACTCCATCGTCTAGACGTAAGGTTGCAATTTGAACAGTTAAAGTTTGTTTACTTTAGTAGTTTTGTTGTTGAGGTATTATTATTTATTTGCTTAAGTAAATATGGCGGCGGATTGATTGATGACGTCATGAATGGTGTACTTTGTTCGGCTGCACAATTGGAACGTAGTTTTGTTGCTATGTTGGTTTCAGTATTTATTTATTATATATAGTTTTCAAGAATGCGTTGGTTAAGTGTTGGACTGAAATAGATTCTTTTAAGCTGTTATGAATGTGGAAGGAGAAGTATGTCTATCGGAATTGTTTTAAGTTTTTCATAACCTTTGTACACTATAACTTTTTTTCGCTACAAAAGCTTAGCTACAATCCTTCCTGGGTCGGGTAAAAGACACGCTATCTCATTAAGGACATAGACATCTCGTAGAGATTACAAATTTGCCGCCATATACATCCATAAAACAAAAATACACCCGAAATACCTCCTCATCCTTTTCAAAAATACAATTTTGGCCCTCATACACGGATTCCATCATCCATTTCATCCACTAACATACAACAAAGGACCGAACAGTGCACGACAAAAAATTAATTACCGACATGGTCCTAAAATAGGCGGAGTACGGTCGGCTGCGCACGCGCACGCTTTGATGTCTTCACGGGACAGTTGCAGCCGACTGCGGTACATGGCCCGTGCTAGCTCAGTTAATAGCGTATTGAGTTACTTCTATGACTTTCAGGAATTGACTGTAACTGAAATATTGTCGTGTAATAGGAGATTTGTGTTATAAATGAGAATTAAGTATGTGTTTATATTGTATTCAATGTTAAGTCGTACGAGAGACTGAGATTTTCACCCCCTATTACATGGGACTCATAATAAATGAAATCTCATAATGTAAATAGTGGAAAGTAGGTGTTAAATTGAACAGTAGCATTAAGTGCCGTAACGTGCACTTCTGCCTATCCCTTCGGGAATAAAGGTGATGTTGTACAAGAGAAAGAAAGAAAATGACATATTAGGTAGGTACAGAAAATGGCAATGATGTCATTTAAAACTAAGTTTTTTACCGAATTTGAATGAAATCTCCACAATTTTTTTGCAATAAAACTAGAATCAGGCAACAAAGAGCATATTCAATAATCTTCCACACACACGTAACACAGATACCTCCAGTCATCCCCAAATAATCTAAACTCAAAATCAGTTCATAGCAAAAAATAATAATAACAATAATACTCTGAATAAACTAAACATCAAAAGCTAAACCAAACGTTATAATAATGTTATAATAAACACATTTTCTTAGTATTCCCTTCTATTAATATGTGTGTAAGTATTTGTTCGGTGTACATCTCAATAACAGCGGTGTACAGAATGTAGATCAAAGCTGCGCACTCGCAACTCGACATGCCTGCGTTGCGACCGACGATCAAAGAGAAATGGACACGCAGCGATCCATTTACTTTG